CTATCTATGCTTCCTTCCTGTGGTGAATCTGTATAAGACCCTGGAGGCTGTTGTTGGGTTCTGTGCTGCCTGGAGTATAGGAGCTCCATCTATGCTTCCTTCCTGTGGTGAATCTGTATAAGACCCTGGAGGCTGTTGTTGGGTTCTGTGCTGTCTGGAGTATAGGAGCTCTATCTATGCTTCCTTCCTGTGGTGAATCTGTATAAGACCCTGGAGGCTGTTGTTGGGTTCTGCGCTACCTGGAGTATAGGAGCTCCATCTATGCTTCCTTCCTGTGGTGAATCTGTATAAGACCCTGGAGGCTGTTGTTGGGTTCTGTGCTGTCTGGAGTATAGGAGCTCTATCTATGCTTCCTTCCTGTGGTGAATCTGTATAAGACCCTGGAGGCTGTTGTTGGGTTCTGTGCTGTCTGGAGTATAGGAGCTCTATCTATGCTTCCTTCCTGTGGTGAATCTGTATAAGAGCCTGGAGGCTGTTGTTAGGTTCTGTGCTGTCTGGAGTATAGGAGCTCTATCTATGCTTCCTTCCTGTGGTGAATCTGTATAAGACTGGTGGTCTTAATAAAGCTGTGTGTGATATATATGCTAACTCTGCTGAAATCACAGAACTACCACTGGTAGGTAGAACCGATATGGCCTTTACACTCTAGTTTCCAAATCTAACCGATTTTCGACAGTAGGTAAACAATTTGACTTTCCCCCTATTAAACCGGCGGTCCTCATTCAGTGATACATGCAGTGTGAACAACGGTCCTCTGACACAGTGCAGTGTGAACAACGGTCCTCTGACAGTGATACAGTGCAGTGTAAACAACGGTCCTCTGACAGTGACACAGTGCAGTGTAAACAGTGACACAGTGCAGTGTAAACAACGGTCCTCTGACAGTGACACAGTGCAGTGTAAACAGTGACACAGTGCAGTGTAAACAGTGACACAGTGCAGTGTAAACAACAGTCCTCTGACACAGTGCAGTGTAAACAACGGTCCTCTGACACAGTGCAATGTAAACAACAATCCTCTGACAGTGACACAGTGCAGTGTAAACAGTGACACAGTGCAGTGTAAACAACGGTCCTCTGACAGTGACACAGTGCAGTGTAAACAGCGGTCCTCTGACAGTGACACGGTGCAATGTAAACAACGGTCCTCTGACACAGTGCAGTGTAAACAACGGTCCTCTGACAGTGACACGGTGCAATGTAAACAACGGTCCTCTGACACAGTGCAGTGTAAACAACGGTCCTCTGACAGTGACACGGTGCAGTGTAAACAGTGACACAGTGCAGTGTAAACAACGGTCCTCTGACAGTGACACAGTGCAGTGTAAACAACGGTCCTCTGACAGTGACACGGTGCAGTGTAAACAGTGCAGTGTAAACAACGGTCCTCTGACACAGTGCAGTGTAAACAACGGTCCTCTGACACAGTGCAGTGTGAACAACGGTCCTCTGACACAGTGCAGTGTGAACAACGGTCCTCTGACACAGTGCAGTGTAAACAACGGTCCTCTGACAGTGACACAGTGCAGTGTAAACAACGGTCCTCTGACACAGTGCAGTGTAAACAGTGACACAGTGCAGTGTAAACAACGGTCCTCTGACACAGTGCAGTATAAACAACGGTCCTCTGACACAGTGCAGTGTAAACAACGGTCCTCTGACACAGTGCAATGTAAACAACGGTCCTCTGACACAGTGCAGTGTAAACAACGGTCCTCTGACACAGTGCAGTGTAAACAACGGTCCCCTGACACAGTGCAGTGTAAAAAACGGTCCTCTGACACAGTGCAATGTAAAAAACGGTCCTCTGACACAGTGCAGTGTAAACAACGGTCCTCTGACACAGTTCAGTGTAAACAACGGTCCTCTGACAGTGACACGGTGCAGTGTAAACAGTGACACAGTGCAATGTAAACAACGGTCCTCTGACACAGTGCAATGTAAACAACGGTCCTCTGACACAGTGCAGTGTAAACAACGGTCCTCTGACAGTGACACGGTGCAGTGTAAACAGTGACACAGTGCAGTGTAAACAACGGTCCTCTGACACAGTGCAGTGTAAACAACGGTCCTCTGACACAGTGCAGTGTAAACAACGGTCCTCTGACAGTGACCCAGTGCAGTGTAAACAACGGTCCTCTGACACAGTGCAATGTAAACAACAATCCTCCGACAGTGACACAGTGCAGTGTAAACAGTGACACAGTGCAGTGTGAACAACGGTCCTCTGACACAGTGCAATGTAAACAACAATCTTCTGACAGTGACACAGTGTAAACAGTGACACAGTGCAGTGTAAACAACGGTCCTCTGACACAGTGCAGCGTAAACAACGGTCCTCTGACAGTGACACAGTGCAGTGTAAACAACGGTCCTCTGACAGTGACACGGTGCAGTGTAAACAGTGACACAGTACAATGTAAACAACGGTCCTCTGACACAGTGCAATGTAAACAACGGTCCTCTGACACAGTGCAGTGTAAACAGCGGTCCTCTGACAGTGACACAATGCAGTGCAAACAGTGACACAGTGCAGTGTAAACAACGGTCCTCTGACAGTGACACAGCGCAGTGTAAACAACGGTCCTCTGACACAGTGCAGTGTAAACAACGGTCCTCTGACACAGTGCAGTGTAAACAACGGTCCTCTGACAGTGACACAGTGCAGTGTAAACAGTGACACAGTGCAGTGTAAGCAACGGTCCTCTGACACAGTGCAGTGTAAACAACGGTCCTCTGACAGTGACACAGTGCAGTGTAAACAGTGACACAGTGCAGTGTAAACAACGGTCCTCTGACACAGTGCAATGTAAACAACGGTCCTCTGACGCAGTGCAATGTAAACAACGGTCCTCTGACAGTGACACAGTGCAGTGTAAACAGTGACACAGTGCAGTGTAAACAACGGTCCTCTGACACAGTGCAATGTAAACAATGGTCCTATGACAGTGAAATGTAAACAACGGTCCTCTGACACAGTGCAGTGTAAACAACGGTCCTTTGGCAGTGACACAGTGCAGTGTAAACACCAGCGTAGGTCAGGAGTATTAGGCAATTAACCGTGGAACAATGAATGGCCTCGTTAGATACCCAGGTGTAGTCTGGGATGACTAGATTCCTCAGCCGCGGTGCTCTATGAATTTTAAAGAGTTGGGTTAAAGGAGCATGTGGTGGTATTGATGAACTCAGATGTAGGCGGAAACGAGGCCAAAACCTTTGTCCAGTTAATTGCGGCCGCGGTGGAGATCAAGCTGCGTGATAAAGAGGGAGGCCAGGATGATGGGAAACAAACCTTTCTGCCCAGATTCTCCTTAAATCTAATCGCGGTCACGAGGAAACACAGGAATTAATGTGGGTCGACCCACACGCTATTGATATGGCTCTCTCGAATCCTCTCTGAACCTCGGCATTTTCTGAAGAGTACACAACAAATCGTTGCCTTAGATAGTTCCCTGGTCTTTTAATGCACAACACGCATATAAGGTTGTCCCAAAAGTCCGTAAACATATTATGATTTATATTTTACAAGTGTTTGCGAACTTTTGGGACAACCTTGATATATTGGTAACCTTGATAAAATTATGACAGAATTCTTATAGAAGAATGATTTAATCTCTGATGTTCTATATCAAGGATGGCCCACCTACTGATTGTCCACCCTTGATATAGAACATCAGAGATTAAATCATTCTTCTATAAGAATTCTGTCATCATTTTACCAAGGTTGTCCCAAAAGTTTGTAAACACTTGCAAAATATAAATCATAATATTTATAATACAATATAATACGGCTTGTGATTGTAAAACGACATTTGAAAATTATCCCGCATGAGTTTCTTTCCAACGAATATCTGCCCGGTAAGCGGAACACTGTGGGTTCGATTCCCATCCCTGGACACTTTTATTTTTCCGTTTATCATTACTTTTCACAATTCATCTTTTCATATCTCATCCCCAAGGTTAGAAATAATCGTTATTTTTCATTGGGATAAATTTTAGTTTTTCGTTGAAAAGAAACTCATGCGGGATCATTTTCAAATGTCGTTTTAAAATAATAATATGTTTACGAACTTTTAGGACAATCTTATAAATTGTGCTTCTAACGAGGAGTTTGACAAATAAATGACAAGGTTTTGGTAAATTTCTGCAAAAGGGAGGGATGGACAATCATTCTTATTTAGACAAAGAGAAATGGAAAATACTAGTGTGGAATCTAGCAATGGACAGACTTGAGATGAGAATGGATATTTGATAGCATATTTTCATTCAAAAATATTCCTTAAAACTTTTTTTTTAAATCTGTAAATTGCTTTTCTCGAAAAAATACACGCAATACTTTACAATTTGATTTCATTTAACTAAATTTGCATACCAACCCTTTGTACATATATCAATTGTGTTGATATATATTTTTTTATATTTTCATTTAACTAACTTGCATACTAATTCTGTACATATTTAAAATATCTTTCTCTTTTTTCTTTCAAATTTTTTGTTTATGTTTAAAGTGCAAGTGTCCCTAGGGGGAATAGCGCTCTAAGTCGAAATATAATTTTTTAAATAAAAAAATAAAGAAATAAAGAAATGATATTTGATTGACAAAAATATTTATATAAAAATAAAATAGGTGACCTCTGAAAATCGATACAAATTGTTGAGACTAAATATATCGAAGATTACACAATTTTCAGTGATTGATGTTTATATGTTGTTTTTATAACAATGGGACAAAGCATATATGTGTTCACATGGCGTCCAACAATGAGACTTAGGCTCTTGGTGCTTGCACAAGGTTCAACAATTATACAAAATATAGTAGTGTTTACATGGTAACCCTAACAAAATTATTATTAACGACATTTGAAATACTATCCCGCATGTGTTTCTTTTCAACGAAAATTCAAAATTTATTTCAAAGAGAAATAACGATTATTTCTAACCTTTTGGATGAGGTATGAAAGAGTGAATTGTGAAGAGTAATGATAAACGGAAAAATAAAAGTGTCCAGGTATGGGAATCGAATTCACAGTGTTCCGCTTATCGGGCAGATGTATGCCATGTCCACTAGGCTACCCTGGACATATTTTTCCGTTCGTAATTGTTGGTGTTTACCCATGAATCAACGATTAGACTAAAGTGATTGGTGCTTGTACAAGTTCCAACACAATTAAAAACTAAAGATATTGGTGTTTACCCAATATTCAACACAATGAAACTAAAGATATTGGTGTTTACCCAAGATTCAACACAATGAGACTAAAGATATCGGTGTTTACCCAAGATTCAACACAATGAAACTAAAGATATTGGTGTTTACCCAAGATTCAACAATAAAACTAAACATATTGATGTTTACCCAAGATTCAAGACAATGAAACTAAAGATATCGGTGTTTACCCAAGATTCAACAATGAAACTAAAGATGTTGATGTTCACCTAAGATTCAAGACAATGAAACTAAAGATATCGGTGTTTACCCAAGATTCAACAATGAAACTAAAGATGTTGATGTTCACCCAAGATTTAACACAAGGAGTCTAAAGATATTGGTGTTTACCCAAGATTCAACACAAGGAGTCTAAAGATATTGGTGTTTACCCAAGATTCAACACAATGAGACTAAAGATATTGGTGTTTACCCAAGATTCAACAATGAGACTAAAGATATTGGTGTTTACCCAAGATTCAACAATGAGACTAAAGATATTGATGTTTACCCAAGATTCAACAATGAAACTAAAGATGTTGATGTTCACCCAAGATTCAACACAAGGAGTCTAAACACAATGAAACTAAAGTTATCAACAATAAGACTTAAAGATATTGGTGTTTACCCAAGATTCAATAATGATACTAAAGGTATTGGTGTTCACCCAAGAGATTCAACAATGAAACTAAAGATATTGATGTTTACCCAAGAGATTAACCAATGAAACTATAGCTGCCAATATAAAGTGGACCAGGATAGTTCACCAGGAACTCTAGGAGTTTATTTAAGGCCTTCCTGAAGAAGAGCGTGAATGGCAGCGGCCTGTCAGGGATTAGGGCCAAAGTGGGTCTCCGCCTAACAAGATGAAAGTATTCCTGTTTTCAATTTTAAACAAATAAACACGTCACTGATTGACATTCTTCGGGCGACTGCATCACGGAACACACCATACGGTCGTTCTTACCATTTTGCCATTAAAGAAATTCCTCTACGTTTGAAGCTATTCAAATATACCACCGTATTAGAAAATATGTATTTATTATAAAGGAAGAGGTAGTGTTACCGGCATTCCCATTTGTTATTCAACGAGCTACTAACTTGTAAAGAATTTTTTTTTTGTGTAAATATCGAAAAAATTAATTATTATCTATTCTTTTTATGGCCCTAGCCATCCTGGTGTCTGACATGTCTCTATAAGTATCAACATTGAACAAGCGACAGTGGTGTCATAAGAAGACAAATACCTACTTATATGGTTTTTGTATGTTTTAACCGATTGCTTAACTCTTTCCAAAGGATGTTAACGAAATCATAGCCGCCCATATACCGAAGAGAGCCTTATATTTTATCACTTAATTGTAAATTCTCATTAATTTTTGTATCAATTGACTAGGAATGTTAATAAAATATTTTTGAATTTTCAAAAAAAAAATTCTTCTTATTCTTTATTATCTCAATATGTTACTGAGCAGTACTCCCAGTCTTAATGATACACACAAAACTCCGCCTTTGCCGGTCTCAAGCCCGGATGAAAAAGGAGGAGGGGGAGCAGTAACAAGCTCACTAAAAACCTGGGTTCAGCTGGCCATGCTGATAGTATCATGTAAGGGCTCCAGGGATACTGGATGAGCAGCGTTTTTACTCCATGTTAGGAGCGGCTGTACATGCCATCTGTTCCTCATGTTAGAGGTGGCCATTTCTTTTGGAGCTAAGTCGGCCTGCCACTGAGTAGTGTTCCCAGTCTTAATGACAAAGGCAGACACATTCTACTTCACTCAGTCATGATGGTTGTCAAACAGACATCATCAAGGGTCACAACTTGATACCCTAATATGATTGAGTGGAGATAAGAAAGAAGAAGATACATATAAAGGCAAACGCATTCTACTTCACTCAATCATTATAAATCCTTATTCTAAATATCAATATCAATAGAGCATTGTTATATATATGTTATATTCAAATATTATTTTATTTAAAATTATATTTCATATTTTCAAAACTCTGTTTTGAGAGGTCACGCTTCCTCTATAAAAACTCATTGTTGTTGTTTCCCGATGGCCTTTGGGTTAGCAGCCCCGTAAATAAAGATATTTCCGTTTCCCGATGGCCGGCTCAAACCTTTTGTACATTATGTAAATAAGTTTTTTTTTTTCTTGTTGTAGTCGCCTTAAGCCAGGCATTACTTTTATCAAATTATGTTTTTATATATTCCTTTAGCTCAATTAAAGATATATTTGATAAATAATATTATTATTACCACGATTGCAGAAAAATGTCCCATGCTAATGGATTCCTGGATCAAGAAAATAACCAATAATTCCTCTACAAACAATTAATTAAAAATCAGCAGAAAATATCATTGTTTTTATTTAACATATATACATTCTAATACAATATAATGGGCTTTGTGATTGTAAAACGACATTTGAAAATTATCCCGCAAGTATTTCCCTTCAACGAATAATCAAAATTTACTCCCAGGAGAAACAACGACTATTTCTAACCTTTAGGGATGAGGTATGAAAAAGGCAAATTGTAAAGAGTAATGATAAACGGAAAAATAAAATTCCTATCCCTGAACAATTTTATTTTTCCGTTTATCATTACTCTTCACAATTCACCTTTTCATACCTCATTCCTAAAGGTTAGAAATAGTCGATGTTTCTCCTGGGAATAAATTTTGATTATTCGTTGAAGGGAAACACTTGCGGGATCATTTTCAAATGTCGTTTTATATATATACATTGTAAGAAAGAAGGAGGATAGTTCTCAAGTATAAAAAAACCTGTTAATCTTTAAAATGCTTTAAGACATTTCTTTGACCTCATGTGGGCAGAAGCGGTAGATACGGGTTAGTAAACAAGCCACCAACGGTGTCATATTAAGACAAATGCTTACTTATATGGTTTTGGTATGGTTTACCGGTTGCTTAACTCTCTTTCCAAAGAATGTTAACAAAATCATAGCCGCCCATATACCGAAGAGAGCCTTAGCGGGAAACCATGGGATATAAGGTAGTATTGTAACTGAAAAGACGAGTATGGAATCAGCCGTGTCTTCACTTTCCTCATCCAAATGGACCACGGCATTCGGCGATTCTATTAATCTCCTCCGAACGGTGACTGCGGTCTTGTAGAATTTATATAAACCAAAGACCTTGATCAAACATCATTCATCCAGTTATATATTTGTTGACTATCGGATTGAGACAAGGATAAATCACCCAAGAGTTCTTTCCTCTGTTTCTCCAAGCAAAAGCAACCAAATATTATATACATGATATCATCTTGTATTCTGCTATTACATAGATAATACGTTAAAGGACAGTCAGTCTTCCAGCGCTTTGAACAAATTTCTGGAAAGAACACCCATAGGAGTCTCAGTTGCTCAATAAGTCTTTTAATTACCAGAGGAGTTTTTGTGAGTAGATATAGTTCTGCTGTTATTGAATTTTTTAAGTGTTTGAAGTGACTGTAATAAGAGGTATTTAAGATTTGTGTTTTGTTGTTACTTAAAACATTGTTCCAAATCTGATCGATCTACGCAGAGAAAATAAAATAAATGTATTGTTTGAATGCGTTATTTCAACGTATTTATTGTAAAGGATAGACGCCTTTTTTGCATATAGGTGTATATATGTATTTATCTAAAGAGACAAAGGTCGCCTCTCCCGTCAAAACTAGACGCCATCTATTGACCGTCGCCGCAAACTAGCGGTCTCGGGTCGGTGACAAATTCACAACACCAGCTTTGGCAAACTGAAAAGCGTCCACCTAGAGACCATGGTTTCGGGCTAATGGCCCTCGTCAGTCTAGGGCGGACTTTATTCCATAAGATCCACACGGGATCTAATGGAATCTTGAAAATCTTCCAAAGAGGTGTTTTGACGTCTATTTTGACGGGAGAGGCGACCTTTGTTACTTTATATGTATATATATGTACGTATGAAATATGATACATATGGCCTATAATGGAGGCGAATATATCTTCTGATTGGCATCCACAGTGCGCACCATTTTAGGTCAAGTTTGTGTAAGAGTGAAAGGGGCCCCGCTAGAAATATCAAAACGAATAAAAAAAGAAACAGACGAGAGATCCGGGTGGGGAAGGGAGGGGTTACGTCAGTGTAAACAACCTAGTTGGCAACAGTCGAAAAATTTCTTAATGGGCGGGAGGTTAGCAAGCAGACGAAAAATGCGGGCGAGTAAAAATATCATCTGACAATATTTAAGTGTCGAGAGACCGGCCGACCATCTGTATAGTTTTATATTTACAACCTGGGCCGCAGAATTAGAC